AGTTGGATGAGTCTAATGGTGATTACGAAGGTGTTTGGAGTAATGACGAGTGATAGCGATGCAATGCCTCCATTCATCTCTCCATAGGGCCTTAGATTCAACACGGAGGCCTACAAAAAGTGCCTTAAGTAGGTAGTGGTGGCCTGGATTAAAAGTGGGGCTGCTAGACGGCCCTATGGTCTGGCAACAGGACTCTGCACCATGGCACACAAGCAGGTGAACCCTGTCATGGCTCTCAGACAATTTCTGCGACCACCTCACCCCTTTTATTTGGATAGCTAACTCCCCAGACTGCAACCCCTTTGATTATTATGTGTGGGGTGCAGTTGAGTGAGAGGCAAAAGAAAAAAAATACTTCTTGTAACACCAAAGATGAACTGAAGGCAAGGATTATGGCAGCATTCGCCAACTTAACAAAGGAGACCGTCCAGAAAAGAGGCGGGAGGTTCCAAAGTCGTCCGGAGACCGTGGTTGAAACCAATAGCGATTTTCTTGAATTAATTTAGTCTTTAGTATTTCAAGATATTTTTGTATAATTTTGGTAAACATCTCTTTTAAAATGAGATGTCAGTGTTTATTTTATATTATTTTATTTTTTTATTTTTTATTTTTTATTTATTTATTTATTTATTTTATTTTTTTATTTTTATTTTTATTTATTTTATTTTATTTTATTTTATTTTATTTTTTTTTTTTTGCATAATTGAGACGACAATTTATCCATCGCACCCTGCACACACACACACACACACACACACACACACACACACACACACACACACATCATTTCACCCCAAGAAAGGCAATAAAGCCACTAAGGCGCAAGGGATTACTGAATGTGAGAGAATATGACCAAAAGAAAAACATTATTTGAGAGAGAGAGGATTATAAAGAACAGGAGTTAAAATTTTTGAAGACAAGATAACGATTGACATTGTAATTAAATTTTTGAATATCAAAATAGACTGGGAATGAAGAAGCCAGCAAGGAGTTCCATAAGCGAGAAATGCGATAGAAGAAACTGTTAACATAGAACTTACGGTTCCATCTAACAATTCCAGCTGTTAAAACATGAAACGTTCCCCTAATCTTAGTTTCCTTCCTTAAGTGTCGTGTCCCTTGAAGATTCTGACGATCACGCCTCTCCATAATTCCCTTAATAATTTTTTTCTCTTTTTGTTATCTCTCCTAAACCTTTTCCCTCATCCATTTACTCAAGTTGGTTCTTCTACTTTTTGTATGCTCCGTGTCTCTTCAAGACTTTAGCGATCATGGCTCTCCACAATTTCCTGCCCTTTGTAGCTCTTAATAAATTTTGTCTTTTTGTTATCTCTTCTAAACCTTGTTCCACCATCCATTTACACAAGCTCATTCCTCTTCTTCTATGTGCCATGTCTCTACAGGATGTGTATGATCATGGCTCTCCACAATTTCCTGCCCTTTGTAGCTCTTAATAAATCTTTTTTTTTTGTTATCTCTCCTAAATCTTGTTCCACCATCCATTTACTCAAGTTGGTTCTTCTTCTTTTTGTATGTGCCGTGTCTCTACAGGACGTTGGCGATCATGGCTCTCCACCATGTCCTGCCCTTTGTAGCTCTTAATAAATCTTGTCTTTTTTGATATCTCTCCTAAACCCTGTTCCACCATCCATTTACTCAAACTCGTTCTTCTAACTTTTCTATATGCTGTGTCCCTTCAGAACATTGGCGATCATGGCTCTCCACAATTTCCAGTCCTTTGTAACTTTTAATAAATGTTCTCTTTTTGTTATCTGTCCTAAACGTTGTTCCGCCATCCATTTACTCAAACTCGTTCTTCTACTTTTTCCATGGGCTGTGTCCCTTCAGGACGTTGGCGATTATGGCCCTCCACAATTTCCTCTTCTTTGTAGCTCTTAATAAATCTGGTCTTTTTTAAATCTCTCCTAAACCCTGTTCCACCATACATTTATTCAAGCTCACTATCTTATCCGTTGTCTCCCTCTGTCCCTCTTGCTTTTTATATCTTCTGTGAATATCAGATTTTACAACCCCCTCTTTTTGCGCCGAGAATTTTAAACAGTCTCTTCCTGATGTTGAGTATAAATTTCCTTGTTTCCATTTTCTCTAAAACTTCGTTGTTGTTTACAAACCCACTGCGCTTAAATTTATAAAATCTAGATACGAAAAAGAAAAGTAATATCTATTTTGAAAATATAAAAATGTGACACAAAGCCAAATGGTAATGATAGGGAAGGCTTGTTTTAGGCTGTTGTATCTTCAATTTAGCTAGCCACGGCATACCATAGTATTCCTTACACCAAAACAACACATTCTTACTATAGACACCATAATGCTTCAAGCCTGTATGAAGTCGTAACGAGTTCCAATATGTACAATTTGTCTGTCGGGTAGGGAATAAAAATAGCAATTTAAAAAAAAAAAGATGAATATTTACAATGATTAAAACTTTATATACAATTACCATGAAAATATTTTTAGAAAAAAGCACAGGGAAGCGAAGTTAAGGCTTTGGGAAAGAGACTGACGCCGAGATGCCAGATCAGCATAAATAACATTGCAAATTCTTCTTTGGATTTTATCTATAATCTGTAACTAATTAGCAGAAGCTCCAAACCAGATGTGGCAGCAATATTCAATGCTTGGATGATTATGTCAACATGCAAGTCGAAATTATGATTAGCGAAGAAATAATTCGTTTTGCGAAATAGCCGTGTAGATTTAACTATGCGTCTTGACTTCGACGTTTGCCCTGTTAGAGTACACAATCTTCGAATGAAAGCTTTCTACTTACATTTTATATGTGAACTTGCATGAAAGACAACATTTCTCCAATAACAGCCCAGAATTCCTTTCTTTATGCGTTTTTATTTTTGCGTTCTATTCGCTTCCGTCGTATGCACTCTTTTTAAACGAAAGGACCCCTTTCTTTCTTGTTTCGTTTTTATGACATGGCTTCACTCTTTTGGGTTCTTTTTCCTTTCTTTTACCGAAATAACGCATTTCTTTCTCTCTCACATTTGTTTGAAAGATTCATTTCTTTATTACTTTCTTTCTTTGTTTTTGTTTTTACGAAAATATCTTCATTTATTTTTCTTTTACTTCTTTATTTCATTTACTTTCTTTACTTAACTCTCTCTCTCTCTCTCATTTTCTCTCTTTTTCACTGAAATATATTTCTTTCTTTCTTTTTTTTTTCTTCAAAAGGTTTGTTAATTTTTTTCTTTTTCGTTTTTTCTTTCTGAAAAGACTTTCCTTTTGCCTTCTGAAATGTCTTTCTTCTTTCGGCAATGTTTTCTTTCTTTTTTTTAAATAGCATCTTTCTTTTCTTTTCCACTTTATTTCATTTAGTCTTTCTTTTACTGAAATGCCTTACTCAGTTTTTCACAAAGTTTCATTCATTCGTTCTCTCTCGCTCTCACTCACTTTCTTTTTTCTTTTACGGAAATATATTCTTTCCTTCTTTCTTTCTTTCTTTCTTTCTTTCTTTCTTTCTTTCTTTCTTTCTTTACCAAAAATTTCTTAGTATGTTCTTACGTAAATATCTGTCTTTCCTCTTTTTCAGAAATATTTCAGTTTTTTCCATCCTCTGGTTAATTTTACTTACATTGTTGTTTTTTGTTTTCTTCAGATATTCTTTGTTACTTAATTGAAATTATATATATATATATATATATATATATATATATATATATATATATATATATATATATATATATATATATATATATATATATATATATATATATACAGTTCAAAGGTTTGACGCAACCTCCAGAATTAGCATGGGATGAACTTAACAGAAGATTGAAAAAAATGAAAAAGAACTCTTAGAGTCATTGAAAAAGAATGGAATCAATTATCAAACTTATACTTTGAGAAACTTTCACAACGAATGCCAAAAATCCGTGCTGCAGTAAACAAGATTAAAGGAAGATATGATTTTTTATCTTCTTGTCATAACAAATTTTCCCAAAAAAAAAAAGCCATTTTTTTAAAACCATATATAATAATTTTCACTTATTTACAATACAAAACAACTATTTTTGGACTAATTTAAGAAATTACTATGGTGTTTTTAATCAAAAATTTTTATTACTGCAAACAATATTTTAATGGATACCGGTGTTAAACCAAGACAATTTTAAATATCAGACATGGTTTTTTGCTACAAAGTAATACGCTGGTTCGAACCCTACCGAGAGCACATTTTCTTTATTTAGTTCTCTCGGATGCGCAGATTTAGACGTATTAAGTCTATTAAAAAATAAACACGACGTCTAATTCAAACACGAGTATCCACTTAAATTAACTTTTTTTTTTGTATATATATATATATATATATATATATATATATACACACACACATATATATATATATATGTGTGTGTGTGTGTGTGTGTATGTGTGATAATGTATTTATGCTTGTATGTATAAAAGTGAAATCAAAACACGTGCGTGAGTGCCATTCTGTTCAATATCTTTTCTCTCGCATGACACACAAGCAGAACGAATTCCTTTGTTAATCGAATCTTTTTTTCAGAACATAAACTTATCAATTAGTTGTTTTTCGTCATTAAAGAAAAAGCCGCCTTTGCCAAGTGAAAATTGTGTTATATTTTTCCATTACTTTCTTCTGTGATGCAGTTTTTTTTTATTTCCTGTTTAACACGAGTGAGAATTTGCAAACAATCAGCTTAAAACGCTCGAATCGAAGGCCAATATTTCGGAAGGCACTGCTGACGGCGGTTATAGCATCGGATTGGTTGGTTGGGGGAAAAGGGAAATTAGCTGCCATTGAGATTAAATTCTTTCTGATTGGACAGTGAAAAGAAAGAAAGAAAGAAAGTAGCAAAGAATTAAAAGAAGAACGGGAAGATATGCAAGAAATAAAATGCCAAAAAACAAAAAATACCGAAAAAAAAAAACGAAGGAAAGTAGGAAAAAATATGAAATAAAGAAAGACAGAAAGAAATTACCAAAATAAAGAGAGTAGCAAACTAGAAAGAATTGGAAGGAAGAAAAAAGCAGCGAAGCTGAAAGAAAGGAAGAAAGAAAGAATGACTGCAGCCAATGAGAAAGAAAGTAGCAAAAAAGAAAAAGACAGAAAGAAAGAAAGATAGAAGGAATCTACCAAAATAGAAATAATGTAGCAAAATAGAAAAAAATGAAAGAAAGAATATAATAAAATAAAGTAGAGGAAGACAGAAACAAAGAAAGAAAGGGATATAAATAGGCAGGAAAGAAGAAACAACACCCAATCGAAGGGAAGAACGAAAGAAAGAAAGAAAGAATATAATAAGATAAAGAAAGAAAGATGGAAAGAAAGAAAGAAAGAATGAAGGATATAAATAGAAATAAAAAAGTAACAATGTAGAGAGAAAGGAAGAATGAAAAAAGCAGCAAAGGAGAAAGAAAGTAGCAAAGAAGAAGCAGAAAGAATGAAAGAAAGAAAGAGAGATGGAAACGCCGAAAAAACAAAGAATGTAGCAAAGTAGAAAAAACACTGGATAAAAAAGAAAGAAAGAAAGAATATAATAAAAGAAAGAAAGAAAAGAAAGAAAGGAGTAATGAAAACAAGATATTGAGCAAAGAAAGAAAGAAAGAAAGAAAGAAAGAATATAATAAAAGAAAGAAAGAAAGAAAGAAAAAGAAAGAAAGAAAGAAAGAAAGAAAGAAAGGGGAAATGAAAACAAGATATTGAGCAAAGAAAGAAAGAAAGAAAGAAAGAAAGAAAGAAAGAATATAATAAAAGAAAGAAAGAAATAAAGAAAGAAAGAAAGAAAGAAAGGGGAAATGAAAACAAGATAATGAGCAAAGAAAGAAAGAAAGAAAGAAAGAAAAAAAGAAAGAAAGAAATAAAGAAATAAAGAAAGAAAGAAAGAAAGGGGAAATGAAAACAAGATAATGAGCAAAGAAAGAAAGAAAGAAAGAAAGAAAGAAAGGGAAAAGAAAAGATAATGAAAAAAGAAAGAAAAGAAAGAAAGAAAGAAAGAAAGAAAGAAAGAAAGAAAGAATATAGCAAATGAGAAAGAAAGAATTTGGTATGGAAAATAGAATAGACAGGAAAGCAATAACTGATGAATGCTGGAAGAAAAATGTGATTAAAATAACAGCAATGTTCAATTGAATAAAAAAAAGTACCCCAAAATACCAACGAATTCAACAATAAAAATTAACAAAGAAACCACACCAAATAAAGTAGATAAAATGAACGCATAGGTGAAAGGGAAAAGAATGAAATAAAAAAAAATAATAGTTGCCATAAAACAGCTAGAGGGGAAACTTCAGCATCTTTATCATATTATTTTCTTTCCGAGTTTTAGACCATTTTGTGGCCGTTGTTGAAAGTCATCAAGTGATGTGGTTTCTGTTATTTGGTACATATCTTTGTTATTCCCTAACGCCAGTCTACCAAGATGGAAGAACGACTATCCTTGCTAAGACCTCTATAGGCTTCATTCACTGGAATGCATTCACAAGTAGAAAGAAATAAACCTAGACATAAATGTACTCCCCCCACCAAAAAAAAAAAAAAAAATAACACTCTTAAACAGCGGCAAATAAAATGAAATTAAAAAGAAAAATAGGAACGAAATTGCCCCTAACTTATGTCTATGTTCTGTAAGTAATTCCTATCGACGACACTGGTTGTTCTACGAGGGGAAAAAGCCAAACGATTAAATTAGGCATAGGCAACCTTTTTCGAGCAGTAGGCCGCATATTTTCTGGCTAATCCCAGGGCGGGCTGCCCGACTAAAATGATTCAAGATATTTTTTTCGCAATAGGTACCTCAGCTATTTTTACTACAGAAGACCATATGCCTAAGCATAGACTTTAGAAATGGTAGGAAAGATTTTTGATTATTTTAGAAAATATTTTTTTTAAATTAAAAAATTGAAGACTTGATATAATATTATCACTGGTGACAATGTAATTGTCATATGTCAATGCGTGGGATGTAATTCTAATTTATTATTCGAAAATGAAGACATTTCTCCTTTAGAGAAAACCTTATTATCAACGTTCTGTTTTTCAAAAGTAAAAGATGTTTACACGTATGATCTTCCTTAGTGAAAATCGCCAATAGTTTAAAATGCTGACAACGTTACTTTCCCCGAAAAGTAGCGAATTCAAAAAACATAATACTAAATCATTTTTTTATATGCGTGGTTATTCATAAGAGAGTGTGTGAGTGAACAAGTCAGAACGAAACAAAATGAAATTTTAAGAAACGTTATTTAAGGATTAACTTTTAGAAAGAATAAAATAAACAATGGAACGCTATTTTAAACAATGCAATCCTAAAAGCATGCCAGTAAAATCTTGAAACAACTACAGGATGCGGTAGAAATACCTCCCATATATACCTCCCACATAATAGTAAGATGTTATCTAGATCAGGCAAGTAAAACCTTTTTTCGAGCAGTGGACCGTATGTTATATGGCTAATCACAAGTCGGCCCGCGCGACTAAAAGGATTCAAAATAATTTTTCGGACCTCAGCTATTTTCATTAGAGAAGACCATATGTGTAAGCATATACCTTAGAAATGGTAGGAAAGTTTTATTTTTCAGAAAATATCTCTTTAAAATTAAAAAAATTGAAGACTTGGTATAATATTATACTGATGACAGTGTGATTGTCATATGTCGTTGAATGTGATTTATTTTTAATGTATTCATCTGAAAATGAAAACATTTCTTTTTTATAGAAAAAAATTCTTATGAACATTTCCAGTTTCAAAAGCAGAGAGAGAAGCAGAGAGAGAGAGAGAGAGAGAGAGAGAGAGAGAGAGAGAGACTTTACACAAGCACGATATGCAGAGAAGCTACCCGAAAGCATGGCTGACTGCCTGTCCGACCATTAGGCTGTGTAAACAACACCCTGTGGACGCAGAAAGAGTACGGATTCTACTATCAACGCGACAAGTCGGAATCTTTTTCATTATATAGTAAACGGAGCGATACTAATAAAGGGATGAGAAAATCATTTAAATATTAAAAATTTAGAATTTAAGTAAAGGAATTAATTTTAATTTTTTAAGGATTATTTTTCAGAGAGAATAAAAAAAAAGAACAACAACAAAAAAAGACAAAAAATCAAACAAACAATGGAACGCTATTTTAAACAATGCAATCCTAAAAACGTGCCAGTAAAATCTTGAAACAACTACAGGGTGCGGTAGAAATAACTTCCAGATAATGTTAAGACATTATCTAGATCAGGTAAGTAAAACATTTTTACGAGCAGTGGGACGCATGACCTATCGCTATTTACAAGGAGGGCCGCGCGATTAAAAGTATTTAAGATAATTTTTTGTAGTAGTTACCGCAGCCATTTTCACTACAGAAGATCATATGCGTAAGCATATGCGTTAGAAATGCTAGGAAAGTTTTATTTTTTAGAAAATTTTTTTTTTAATTTAAATAAATGAAAACTTGATATAATATTCACTTTGATGACAGTAAAATTATCATATTTCGATACGTGGGATTTATTTCTAATCTATTGATTTGAAAATGAGATATTTCTCCTTTAGAGGAAAAAAATTCTTATGGATGTTTCCGGATTCAAACGCAAAGATATTTACACGTATGATCTTCCATAGTAAAAATCGGTTATAGTTTAAAATGCTGACAACGTTACTTGCCCCGAAAATTTGCAAAATTCAAGAAACATTGGACTTAACCTTTTGAGCCGTACTTCCTGAACAATTTTAACTCTTCCGCCTGATCTCCTGAGTCAAAATTTTCAAATAATTGGTATGTAATGTTTCACGGTAGATATAAAAATAGTTACAAGTGTTTACCCACCGTTCCACCGGTAACCGATCATTGTCATTTTTTTCTACCACTGTTCAACTGGTACCTGGGCATTAAACCATTTTTCTCTTCCACCGGTAAAGCGGTTGTCAGGGCTCAAAGGATTAAATGAAAGAATCAGTCGTCGTTCCATCATGCCAAATGCAGGGCTGTTGATCCTGCGAGTCAAGGATATTGCCAAAGATCTTGCAGAGGAAGAAGATGAAAAAAGGCTTGCAAGCCGCGCACAGCTCTTTGACATTTAACCCTTTGAAGCCTGCGTTTCTGAACAACTTTAACCCTTCTGTCTGAGCTTCTGAGTCAAAATTCGCAAATAATTGGTATGTAATATTTCACGGTAGATATAAAAATAATTACACGTGTTTACCCACCGTTCAACCGGTAGCTGGGCATTAAGTAATTTTTGTCTACCACCGGTAAAGCGGTGGCTGAGCATTAAGTCATTTTTCTCTACCACTGTTCGACCGGTGGATCGGCATTACTTCATTTTTCTCTACCATCGGTAAAGCGGTGGTCAGGACTCAGAGGGTTAATCATTGCTTATGTATGTGGTTATGTATGAGAGAGTGTGTGAGTGAACAAGTGAGAACGAAAAAAATTTAAGAAATCTTATTTTTCTTATATAGATTATATGTACCATTCAAAAAACCAAACGGGCCACATGTGACTTGCGGGCCGCATGTGATCCGCGGGCCGCAGTTTGCCCATGACTGATTTAAACCGTCTAGTACTTATTTATGCATATTGCATATATTTTTTTTATATTATAGTTTCTATAAAGTATATTTTAAAATTTCTATTATATTGACTAAAAGCAGAATAAAAGTGTCGCCTTGTGGCAGGTTCTCGGACCTGTTTCAGGAGAGAGTGCTGTAGGGTTTGTTTTGGTTTATTTTGTTTCACGGCATATCAACCTCAATGGGTTATTTAATGCCGACAACATTTTTAGGATAGATTCGTATGAATAGACTATGTATTCTTTGGTTTAGATTGGTTTGGTTTATTTTGTTTAACGTCATATCAACCTCAATGGGTTATTTAATGTCGAAACATTTTTAGGATAGATTCGTATGAATAGAATATGTTTTTTGGTTTAGATTGATTTGTTTATTTTGAATTAGAATATCAATGGGTTATTTAATGCCGACAACATATTTAGGTTTCGTATGAATGGTTTGGTTTATTTTGTTTTATTTTGTTCTATATCAACCTCAATGGGTTATTTAATGCTGACAAAAAACTTTATTGCACGTAATATTTTGTTTTGTCAAAAATCTGTGTCTGAAGCAAAAGATGTTTACACGTATGATCTTCCTTAGTGAAAATCGCCAATGGTTTAAAATTCTGACTACATTACCTTCAACGAAAAGTTACAAAATTCAAGAAACATTGTACTTAATCATTGTTTCTGTATGTGGTTATGTATGAGAGAGTGTGTGAGTGAACAAGTGAGAACGAACCAAGAGAATGTTTTAAATGTTATTTTCCTCATGAAATTAAGTGAGTCATTCAGAAAGACCAATCGGGACGCAGTTTGCCCATGACTAGTTTAAATGCAGATATTCGAAGGGAGGTTGGTGCAACACAATCTTCCCTCCATTTGAATTTATTCTCCTTATTAAGCATAGTACGACCAGCGAGTGGAAAAAGGAAATAAGGGATAATAAAAAGAGTTAAAAGGGGAAAAAAAGAAAAGAACAAATTTAAAACCCAAGAATTTCTTATTAGTACATAATTGTGGTTCTACAGGAGGATACTGAGAATTCTATGGATGGAGCGAGTAATCAATGTGGAAGAATTAAAGATAGTACTAACAAAAAGAACACTTTAAAAAAATCAGAAAAAGACTGATGAAATATTTTGATATACAGAGTGACCCATAAAAAACGGGAATTTTTGAAGTGCGTATTGCTAGACATGAGCAAGTGGCAATACTACGAGACAGTGACCTTGAGCAAGTAAACATTTCGCCATTTAGAATTCAAGATGAAATTCACAGTATCTCAGCTGAGACGTTCAAGCAGTCATGAGGAATCTCAACAGCAGATTTCAAGAATGCATTTGTACAGGAGGACACCATCTACAGAAAGTAATTTTAAAAAAAATGAAAATTCCATCATTGTTTCTTAAATGGTATGTTTTAAGGTTTCAATTACTAGGAATAAAATATTTTTCTTCCATCACTCTTGGTTTTATTGGATTGTTAAAAAGTTCCCCTTTTTTGGGGGTCACGCTGTATATTGAAAAGAACAGCTTAAACTTCAACCTTATCGAGGGCAGGTATAACTGGCCACCCCTATTCGAAGATACCCGCCTACTAGTAGCGGCCAGCCAATCCCTATTGCAGACGCTTGCTCAGGCATATTTGTGATTATTCAACACCCACAGAGCCAACCTGTGTTTTATAATGCAACTATGTTGAGTAGACCTTAGTTACAATTTCATGGAAAGGGCGTGTTATCTCGCGTGATCAACAATAATGGCTGAAGTAATAAAAATCTTTTGGATTAATAAATAAAAAATCCATTACTTCTTTAGAAAAAATAGTGTGTTTGTCTCTCTCTCTCTCTCTCTATATATATATATATATATATATATATATATATATATATATATATATATATATATATATATATATATAAAACTGAGAGTCAGACAAATCTACAAAGGTTTCACCTACGCGTAGGTGAAACCTTGGTCGGTTTGTCTGGCTCTCTAGGTTACTCGTATCGTGTTCTTTTTTTCTTTGGACTTTGGACTTGGATACTAGACGATTATTTTCGTCTGACGTAAATGTTCTTTGTTCTTTCTTTTTTTCATACCTTTTTTTATCCCTTTGTTATTGGTTTGATTATTTGCAAATCAAGATACCGAAGGTTTTCCGGACGAGTATAATTTCTTATACTCATAAGATTATTACTATTATATATATATATATATATATATATATATATATATATATATATATATATACGAGAGCGTGCTATCTAGCGTGGTCAACAAATTAAACGAGGCCAGCAGGCACAAACCTTCGGCTACGATGACATGTGACTTCGTGCTAGCACAGCTATCGACGGTCCCAAAGGGTTCCATCTACCAAATTTCAATCACAAGTTTTGGGTCAATCCGTGGTATGGTTTTCAGGCACTTTCCAAAGGTGTCGCACGCTGGGACCTCGATCCATTCCGATAACATCAGCAAGTCTACAATTGTGTAGAATTGTGGTTCTACAGAAAGATATTGAGAATTCTATGGATGGAGCGAGTAATCAACGCGGAAGAAATAAAGATAGTACTAACCAAAGGAATACTTCAAATCAAAATCAGAAAAAAGACTGCTGAAATATCTTGGACATATATTGACAAAGAACGGCTTAAAAAAACTTAAACCTCCCGGTCCATATCGAGGACAAGTATAGCTGGCCATTCGTATTCGAGAATACCCGTCGACTAGACGCTTGCTCAGGCACATTTATGCCTATTCAACACCTATGGAGTCAAAATGTGGTTTATACTGAAACTATGTTGATCAGAGCTTACTTACAGTTTCTACGTTATCTAGCGTGATCAATTTGAACCAAGCCAGCAAGCTCAAGTCCTCGGCCACGATGACTTGTGACTTCGTGCTAGCACAGCTATCGACGACTCCAAAGGATTCAGTCTATCCAATTTCCCTCACAAGTTTTGTGTCAATCCGTGGTATGGCTATCGACGACTCAAAGGATTCAGTCTATCCAAAAAGAGCTTTTTGAGGAGATATTGCCCTCATTAAGTTTTCTTGTGTCAATCCGTCAAAGTAGTATGGTTTTTTATGCATTTTCCAAAGGTGAAATTTACCATTAGCCATCAAAATGGATTAGGCAAAAAGAGCTAAAATTTTAAGGAGATATTGCATTCTGTTTTTGTGGTCATTAGCCTTGATTATTTTGTAATGGCTTTATTATTTCATTATTATTATTATTATTGTTTTGTTTTTTTT